TCGCCCATGGCTCTTTATAGTTAAAATGTCTGAACAATTCAAACCAATGTTTAAATGTCTCTTTCAAAGTGCTGTAAAGTCTTTGCAGAACGATGGCATGTGTCACTTTGAATATGATTTTGTTGATTTTTGTTGTAGTTATTAAAAAATTGAATGCTTGACATTTTTTCTTATATTTACTTGTCACTTCTGCAGAATAAATGTACTTCATGCTCACACTCTGGATTGCTGGCTGAGCTGCTCTGAGTCTTTCAGGGAGTATGGCCTTCAGGGAGCACAATCTGTCTATGCAGCCCAAGTTCGTCCCAGATACTCCCAAGACAATTGCTCCTAAGAGGCACATTCACCTAGAAAAGTGCACCAAAAAGGAAAAGAAAATAGAACAGCATATTTTTTTAATGTTATAACCTAAATTTTCATCGCCCACAATTATACCTTATAAACCTATAGTGATATTCTATACTTTGAAAGTGCTTTCTTCAAGTATACAACACAAAAGGTCATGTATTATTATCCCTATCTTACAGAGGAGGCAATACAGTCATAGGACAAAACACAGGCCTAGTAGAAGAAAACGGCGGGACTGAAATGCAGGCTCCTGGCCAGCCCAGCTGGGTGCTTCATCACTCACTCCAGCAAGCATGAGTAATACAGAGCAAATGCTTTAAACGTTGTAAATACCAGTATGATTGTCTTAATGTTTGATATTTTAAAATACTGTAGCTGAAACCCTGCAGTGAAGTCCCAAGTCCCTAGATTGGTTCTCATGAATTCATTGCTATTTGTTTCACCCTAGTGGTTGTCTCCCCAGTGACGATTGATCGTCAGGGTGATCCGTGTGATTCATTCCCATCAAAGATTTGTAAATTATCACCCTTCTATGGAAGCCAAATGCCATCAACAATCCTAGATGCAATTTACATCGCTCTCTTGTAATTCTGGAAATCAGACTAGATATTAATCAATCATCTTTAAAATCAGCCATGGGAGTTGGCATATAAACTTCTACCCAGAACTAGAAGCACATAGACCAGACAAAACACAACAAAACTGACCTCCTCTGCTTATAAACTTGTAAAAAAAAAAAACTTCGTTCTTATGGTCAAAGATATGAATTTACTAGAAAACATTTAGAAAGTATCCATTAGTGTCCTTTCACTAAGTTACATCCTAAACCAATGTTTTCTCCAATATTTCCATTCAGCCAGGCGTGGTGGCTCATGTCTGTAATCCCAGTACTTTGGGAGGCAGAGGTGAGAAGATTGCCAGGAGTTAGAGACCAGCCTGGGCAACTTTGTGAGACCTCATCTTTACAATAAATTAAAAATTAGCCGGATGTGGTAGCACACACTTTGTAGTCCCAGCTACTTGGGAGGCTGAAGTAGAAAGATCACCTGAGTCTAACGTATCAATGTCAAGGCTGTGGTGGCCATGAGTGTGCTACTGCACTCCAGCCTAGGCAACAAAAGTGAGACTCCAACTCAAAAAAAAAAAAAAGCAGTATTTTTATTCTATAACATCTAATAGAAGTTTACTTAGTCAAGCTTGATAGGATAGTTACACACCTACTGATAAAAATTGAAGAAAAGTAGAAGAGGTAAACTATTTGAGCAATAACATTATCAGTAGGTTCATGAGAGAGCCTGGAAAACACTAGGCCAAACAATAGTTATGCTTCACCTTCTTAATGTGATACTTCTTTGAAACCATTAAATTTAAACCAATATGTTGGCGATATTCTGATTCTGAATGTAAGTGAAATTATCAGCTTAGTTTAAAAAAAAATTAATTTGGAAAAGACCTCATAGATTTAAACTTTAGGCCAAGCTATCTAAACTTTAGGCCAAGCCACTATTTTATGCTAGTGGAGATTGGAGTCTGCGAAAGGTAAGTGACCCCCACATTACTCTTGGGTGGCCTGAGGTAATTCAAATGTAAATCCTATAACACCGACTTTCCATAGTCTCTTCTTTAGTCATATCACCTAATTCTCCTCAGATTTCAAAAGTTAGGCCAAGCAATAGCCTACTTTTTCATTCCAATGGGAAATGGAAGCAAAATAGGCACAAAAATCATTATCTGGTAGCAAAGTTTGATGTCTGACAATAATTGCTTTAAAAAGGAGAATTCTCAATAAAGTTTTAAGAAACCATAGCTTTTGGCTGTGCAATTTAAAGTGAAAGAACCCATTTTCAGGCTGCAATCACACTTTGCTGATGAGACAATACTAAAATATTTTTTCAAACCTCCATTATTTAATTTTTCCAATTTCATAGCAAAAAGATGATCTTTTCTTGTTGCTCAAAAAAGGTTTTGTTTCCTGATGTAAAGGTAGCAGTCCAAAGCTGCTCTTGGCTCTTATATTCTAGGTCAGCATGTGAGCAGCATGTGAGAACTGAATACCACATATTATCACTTATAAGCAGGTTCTGAACATTTATCACAATACTACAAGAGAGGGATCGGCAAAAGTGGGACACTGCCAGGGGAGGTAGGGGAGACACATAACGTCACTAAGGGTAGCTGATCCTAAACCAGGGTTAAGTGAGGAGGCCCAGACTTCACCTGCACTTATGTACCCAATCCTGAGTTGTACCCCACATCTCTAAAATAAAAGGAAAAAAAATAGGTTTTATATAGCCATTGGCTAATCACAAATTATTTCTCAAGAAAATAACTGGAAAACAACGATATGTTCATTGATATAAAGGCTAAATCCATGTTAAAAACAGAACATCTAATTCCCGTATTTACCTATTTAAGTAGAAAGTGTGAAACTGTTATCTTAGAGTCAAATAAAAAATTAGTAAATTGCAAACTTCAGTACAACCTATTTTCTTGCTTATTAGTAGGGCATGAAATCAGACATGTGATTGAGTTTAAACAATCGATGATTCATAACTAACATTCTCTGATGATCAGATATCTGGCACAGAATACTACTTTTATAAGCAAGGTTATTTTCAAATACAAAGCCTACACTTCATTTGGTTCATGTCTTGTCTTTGTTAAGCAGTAAAAAAAAAAATGAGTTTCAAATGTGTATACTTTCCAGAACTGCCAGGTTATAGACCTGTTTTTGTAGATCACACATGAAATCGTACACCTCATTACTAGAAGAAACTTTAAAGGCATTTATACTGTTCAGTTAGTTGAAAGTAAACTTAGTAAATTTTATTCAATAGGTTCATGCTTAAGTAATAAAAAATGAAGTTTCTGAGTATCTGGTATTTTTTCTACTAAATAAAATAATGTATATAAAATATATGTATATTTACAGAGGGGATTATGTTATTAATATACAGATTGCCAAAAAGAATACCTTAGAGACATTATATACATTTTCTTAACATTTTTAGTAGAAAAACAACTTTTATTTATGACGGCTAAATATACAAGGTAAGTTTAATTCTTAAAAAGAAATTACTAAGAATAACAGAATTCTATAAATAAATGCACAAAAATAACCTTGTAAAATAAATCCTTAGATAAAATATTAATTAATGCTAGACTCTATTAAAGGCATTTAAAGCAAATTTCAGAATTTATACCAAAAGCGCATTCAAAATACACATATTACACTGGTACAGTAAGGCAGGAAGCTCAGCCTCAGTGTTAATACAGCCTTGATCTTAATATAGTCTGCCTCATAGTACATGCCTCATGGTTTGCCTCAAAAGTTGAAAATCACAAGCAGTTTTCTGTCGATAACTTTATGTGTGATTTTGGATAAAAGTAAAAAACTTTTTAATCATTTTGTCAATTTTCTACAGTCATCAGTCTCATAAGAAACATCTGATTACCACTTTCAAGAAGAACTGCTAGAAGACAGAGTGTAATATTTCCAGACTTTTTAAGCAAGTTAAATCATAAATATCACATATATAATAAAGCAAAATGCAAATTTTGAGACACTTTTAGTTTTCAATTTTAAAAAATAAAATCATTTTCTTTGCAGGGGGTGAATTAAAGTGATGAAAATAATTAGTAACTTGGAGAGCCAATTGGTATCTAGTTTTTTTCTTTTTTGAGTCAGTCTCACTCTATCACCCAGGCTGGACTGCAGTGGCATGTTCATAGCTACCTGAGCATCACCTGAGCCTCGAACTCCCGGGCTCAGGTGATGCTTCTGCCTCACCTGGGTATCTGGAATTACAGGTGTGCATCACTACACCTGGCTAATTTTTGGATTTAGTATAGAGACAAGGTCTCACCAAGTTGCCCAAGCTGGTCTTGAACCCTTGGGCTCAAGCAATCCTCTCACCTCTGCCTCCAAAAGTTCTGGGATGACAGATGTGAGCCATTGCGCCCAGCCAGTTACTCTCTCAAGAAGATCAATAGATGAAGCAACTGAACTAAGAACTGTGCAAATCAACTTGAATAAAGACAATTCGATTTGGGAGGCTGAGGTGAGTGGATTACCGCCTGGGCAGCGAGACCTCATCTCTACAATAAATCAAAAAATCAGCCAGGTATGGTAGCGCATGCCTGTAATTCCGGCTACTTGGAAGGCTGAGGCGGAAGGATCGCCGGAGCCCAGCAGGTTGAGGCTGCGATGGCCGGGAGCGGCCACTACACTACAGTCTGGGCGACAGAGTGAGACTCCAACTCAAAAAAAAAAAGATGATTCAAAAAAATTTAAAAATTAAAAATAAATAAATAAATAAAAAGAACCTCACGCAGAGATGCAAAATGGACAGTCAAACCTATCACTTATATCATGCAGCTTCTTTTAAAAAGTTGAACTGCCAGAGCCTTTGCAATGCTTACTTTGGCTCACTTAAAACTAACTTTTAAAATCTGCTCAATTTTAAAGCAAATATCAGCATGGAGTCACTCATATTTGCTTGCAGTGGCCTCACACAATGAAGCATTCATTTAGGTTAGTCACATATATGCTGATGTGTTTATCACAATGAAAAGAAAAAAGAAATTTCAGAAGATGGAATCCATGAAGAGACTATGAATAAATATCTTGACCACAAAAAATATCAGCGACAGACTACTAAGATTACAATTTATCAGTATCATGACAAAGGTGTAATAAATGTTTTTCTAAAAAATTCATTCTTATAACAAACCAAACTGATAAGTATATATAAATTATTCCTATACTTTCATGTGAGGTTACTGATATTTATGTTTTTCTGGTATTTGTTTTTCCTTATCTTGCTTTGAGGTCTTAGCATAGCTTTCTGGAAAGTCTTAAATATTTCTAGAGCCATGGGTAAACCACAAAAGTGATAATTCACCAAAATTTATTTTTACCTATGTAATAAATAAATCTGTTGTGAGGTTAATTTCTCCTAATTTGCATAAAATAATCCCATTAATGAACAAAAAATAATGATCATATTGACTTTACTATGGCTCAAACCTTTAGACAAATATCTCTTTGATTACTTGTTAGTGTAAAGAAAACAGTAATTTTATATTCATGTTTAAACTACTGATACCTGTAAACAAAGTAGCATTTATTAAAATGGAATACACACTTAATTTACACTAAATTCCACTTCAATTTATACAAGCTTTTCATTCTTAATTTTTAAATAAACACAACATGATTTTTTTTAAACATTACCAATCAGGTATATACAAAATGGAAATTGATATCCAAGCCAGATTGTGACTTTAAAATAAGGAACCTCTAAATAGCTAAGAAATTTGCAATGTGTAAAATCTAATCAACCACAGGTATAATTCCTATAGAAATGTTAGCCCTATAATACCGAGCGATATTTACAAGCAAACATGATCCAAACAGCACATGCAGATTCAGGGTAAGTAAACACTCGAACACGAACTGCCAGTCGCACCTGGTCTCCACGGCAACAGATTATTTCTTCACAGAAAGGAGACCTATATAAGAAAAAAAGTTATTCAATTACGAAGTGACCATATGCTTTACTTTCTTAGTTCCAAGTAAATTCGTATTTTAAATAATTTTTTTTTTCTGAGTTGGAGTCTCACTCTGTCACCCAGGCTGGAGTGCAGTGGCAAGCTCAGGGCTACTGCAGCCTCGAACTGCAGGACTCAGGCGATCCTTCTGCCTCTGCCTTCCAAGTAGCTGGAACTACAGGTGTGCGTCACCATGCCTGGCTAATTTTTAAAATTTATTGTAGAGATGAGGTCTCGCCAATTTGCCCAGGCTGGTCTCAAACCCCTGGGCTCAAAAGTAATCCTCTTTCCTCAGCTTCCCAAAGTGCTGAACTCATAGCACTGAACTTTTGGAAGGTATTACACTGTGTGAGTGTTGAAAATTGCATACTCTCTGCAAATACCTGCAATGTGTGTATTTCGTTTCCCATGAAGTAGAGAGTCAGAGACTTAAGTGATCAGCAGAGCTGGGCTAGAGGATAGGCTGCCACTGTGGATGGTCTTCAGGATCTTCAAAAGATTTATCTTAAGAGATGCCACCCACCCACATTTGAGGAAACAAATGTGGTCCTTGCTGTCTCCTCTGGTTTTACACAGCTTCTTTTTTAGTGTTTCAAACATAGTGGTTAAAGTTTACGTATAGGTGAGATGTAGGTATTATGGGTTTACTCTCTTAATTTTTTTTTTCTGAGTTGGAGTCTCACTCTGTCACCCAGGCTGGAGTGCAGTGGCACAACTCATAGCCACCACAGTCTCTACCTGCTGGGCTCAGATGATCCTGCCACCTCAGTCTTCCAAGTAGCTGGAACTACAGGCATGCGCCACCAAGCCTGGCTAAATTTTTGATTTAATGTAAAGATGAGGTCTTACCAAGCTGCCCAGGATGGTCTCAAACCTGTGGGCTCAGGCAATCCTCTCACCTCAGTCTCCCAAAGTGCTGGGATTACAGGCATGAACCTCTACTCCTGACCTTAAAATAATTTTTAAGCCAGGCTCGGTGGCTCAGCCTGTAATCCCGCGCCTTTGGGAGGCTGAGGTGA